TGCACGGCCACTTTTATCTCGTCTGGGACATCGGCCCTCCAGTCGGGGACCTTGCACCCCCAGTTGGGCAATTCCTGGCACCAAAACTGCTGCCCGATGGGGAATGGGTAAAACTTTGGTGTACCACGCCAAATTTTTCAGATGCCCGTATCTTGGAAACTCTGATCAAACAGAAATTAAAAAGTTTCCCTATGTAAAAAAAGTTTGATTATGAAAATTTAAACAAAAGCAAAGATAATGACTTTAGCGGCCCTGTTGACCCAATAAAAAAAAAATAGAAATTATAAAAAAAGAATACAGTAAATTACATGTTGAGATGATTAAAACACATTTGAAATTAAGGGCCTACAATACTAATGAACTTTTAATGAATATTTTAAACAAATATGTTAATTTTGAGAATGATTTGGCCAAGATAAATTGAGTGTTGACAATTTGTAACCCTGCATAATGACTTTTCGTCACCTGTACATTCTGTCCGGAACGTTTCATAACAAATCACAATTTGAAACTCTTCTGAAGGTACCGGTACTCTACTTTTTTATCTTTTCAGATTGAAATGTTACGGTCGGACAACTAAAATTTTAGGGACCACTTGTCCTTGGACAAGCACTTTTAGAATAGGCTACTTCACCATGTACAGTAATGCGTGATGCTTTTGCTGTCGTTATCAAAAGTCCGACTCTTGACAATACGCAGCATATTTTATTAACACTTTTTTGGCCCACAGAGAGATATCAAACAGAAACCAACTACGGTTACGCACTGCCTTGGTGCTCCATGTTGTTGACCAAATTTTCAGCAATGTGACCCAACATATCACGATATAGGCCTATATATTAACATTGAACTTGTCATATACACTGTACAGTACTTGCAACTCTTATCAAATTTCATAAATTAATAATGTTGGTAGTATTAGTGTACCAAGTTTAGAATTATTATTTATCAATCAATAAACATCAATTTAGAGCCACCAGCACTCCCGCAATTTTAATGCGTACCTCCCGGTTTAAAAGGAAAATGTAGGCCTACTCAATATAACATTTCAATGTTATTTTCTGCAGTGAAGATTAAAAATGAATTCTTAATTCTTTAATTGTTCAATTTAGCCAGATCTGTCGTAGGTGTGCATTAGCAGGTATTTATTTCCGCACGATATCGTACCTGCCAGTCGCCGGGCATGCCGCACATGGTCTGTTTACAATGTAAATTCGCATTGGTCCAGTCTATAAATACCAGGCATCTTCAAAAACTTTGGGCACACAACCATTGGTTGATTGTAGTTAATTTGGACGACATGAAATGTCTGGAATTCAAAACTAGTAACAACTCTTGAGTACTTGCAAATTAATTTAAAAAAAAAAAAAAAAAAAAAATGAAATTCCCTCATGCCTGTATTATATAAAAACGCAGTGGCTAGAGATACGGTACCGTATTTCTAATTCAATTTGCTAAATTGAATTACCGGTATGTCACCATCAACCAATGAAGTGCCAGAATGTGCGTAACGTCATCTTTCAAGACTGACTGGCATTTTTGTAGACCACTTAGACGACAGGTGTTGAAACGCGAACGATGGTACTGTACAGAGTAATAGAACATCAAAAAGTACAGTCCTGTACTTAGTAGGCCTACTGTCATTGATAGATAGATGTATGGTCATGTCATCAAGGACTGAATCCTGTACCAAACTCTTGGCATAGGCCTCTAGGATTTTTCTCTTGGCGAAGAATTTAAGGCAGGCCAGGCCTTGCTCAGATTCTTCACTTGGCAGCAGCCCTGGTTGTAGGCATCCTCAATGGTCATACCAAGTCTGAAGTTTTTCAATCCCCAAAATCTCATCCCAAGATTTAGTTTAAGAAGCCTAGGTTATAATACTGAATATACTCAAAATTACCATGCTTTACACTCCAACTGAACCGTGCACATGCAACCGTAAATTTTTCATTTCATTTATTTATTCAACGATAAACAATTAATAGCACGACGAGAAACAAGAAAACGATGGTCAGGGACAGCTAAAGCAAATCTATTACTGTAACACAAAAGAGTCCCTTAAAAAATATGAAGTAACATGAATATTGCACACAATAGAAACTAATGATATAAAAGTATAAAAATACCTAAACAATTATTATTATTATTCAATATTGCTTATTAAAATAACAGCGTTTCTAAAAGATTACAAAAATATTTACCCAAATTTACGTAATTCGTCGCCGTTACTTCCCCAATCGAAAACATCATTTGGCTAGAAACCATTGATCGAGAGAATGTTTCCCCAAGCATGTGATTTTAGTATTAGTGTCAAATTTCCGAATATACTTTTGATGCAGGCCCATTTAAAACAGTACTACAGTATATATAGTGCTACTAAGTAATCCTCTTATTACAGTTTATAGAATATTCAGTTTATTTATTTATTTCTGTCTTTTGTGCGACAACAATTTCAGTGACGTAGCACTGGCTCTTATTAAGTGAAAAGGCTAAGCAAGGCCTGGGCCTACGTCAAAAGTTTGGTCCTGAGGATGCAGGCATTGCATAATATGGCTATAGATAAATGACATGACTCATATTACTGAGTGGAATCCTTACGCCTATTTATCGCTGACAAACAGTATCATAGGAAAAATACTGTACTCTCTGCCTAGCTAATCATAAATCCAGTACATTGTTCGCTAGTCCCACCACGCACACTGTGGGTGATCTGCAATGCCAATGCCGGTCTTGAAAGATGATGTCACACACATTTGGGCACTTCATTGGGTGATGATGACGTACAGCAAGGCCATTTACCGTACATTTAGCAACAGCGATACAAGAACTACACTATTATTAATATTAATATATAATATAGAGGGTTCACAATTGATGATGATAGCAACCAATAAGAAATATTTAAATTTCATACATTCTTTATAAAGTCAACCCGTACCCACAAACCATTCCCAAATTTTGGACGACCCGTACACAGAATTTTGGCGTACCCGTACACATCTTTGGTCAACCCATACACAGGGTACATTAACCCCTATCCAAGTAATATTTTTACTATAATAAAACATTTTGCAAACTGTATTGTATAGTAATCATATTAAACTATATTATGAACACCAAACTTGCGGGTTAGAATACATAATTTCCTTTACCGAGCATGCATTAAATCAAGAAATTCATGATCGCCTAGGCCTAGACGTGTTGGTCGCGATTAACAGCGTATGGAACGGTTTTGTATTTTTAAGCAGTATTGTGCGCGTTTTAGACATAGTATTGATTTTATTTTTTTTGGTTTTTTATGATGCTTGACTATACATAAATATTTTATTGTATTTTTTTTCAGCATGATTACTATTTTATTTTAGTTTTTTTATGATTGCTATTGTTTCAGAGAAATTTTAATTACAATAATTTGATTATTCTTTACTGATTCATGATTATGCTTTAATTGTTTTGTGTTTTATTTGGATAATAGCAACGATTTCTACCACCACCAAGGAGGTTATGTATTCACCGATGTCACTGTCTGGGTGTCTATTCCAGTTTGTTTTTATATCTAGTAAATAAAAAGTGAATTGATAATAAAATACGCGACCACTCATACCTGCCAACCCTACCGATTTAGGCGGTAGGCTACCGATTTTCTCACTTTTCTACCGCCTACCGAATTACCAGGCTGTTCCTACCGATTTTTAAAAATTGGAAATCAACATTATTTTATGCTAAGTTCTCAATCAAAATAATCTCGTTCGCTGTCAGAATGATGCGCTACCCTTAAGCCTCCGGCCACACACTCATAATATAATATTTAGGTAAACAAACAGCACCAGCAGGTGTCAACTAGTGTTTTCAAGTCTTTGTACACTAGACACTGCAAGCTATATTATTTTTTGGTGCCTGGTGCAGTAGCCTATGGTAACTTGAGGCGTGTGCGTGGTGTTGAGTCGCCTAGGATAGCCTAGGAGTAGTGTTGGATCACATGAGGCCACGATCTATCTGATCCTATTTTTTATAGTTTTTCACAATGAGTAAAATAAAATCCAGGTGGAATAACAAATTTAAAGACCAATGGACTGCAGACCACAGTTGTATTAAGTAATCGAGGAAAGGTCAGTTTCATGCTTTGTGTGTGAGTTGCAGGACAGACTTTGAAACTTAGTGTGTTGACTTTTTTTAATGTATGAGTTTGACCAACTGAACATTTCCATCCTTTCCATTTTTTGTAACTCTAAAATCGAATATCTAAACCCTTAAATTTACTGAACTGTTATAGCTGCGCCTCCTGGACCCCCCATTGTTAGGAGGGGGGGGACACCCCTCCAAACCCACACCCCTGCCTCGGGCTTCGCACTCGGATGGCGCTACGCACCATTTTTTCAATAACTTCCTACCTCTTTTCTTCTTTTAAATGTTGGCAGGTATGGACCACTTGGTAATGAACGTTTGGCAGAAGTTTTTTTAGATCCAGCTGTATAGGGGGCATCCCATTGTTTGTATTCCCACCATGCATTTCGGTGGAACACTTTTTTTGTGTGGAGAACTCTATTTTGTATTTCTAGTATCTTTGCCTTAGTATAGTTTCGTGTTTAACAAACGGTATAAGCAATAGCTACCATGTTGTAGATACACGGTCGCACATTCGGTGGATCCATACACCGCGACAGAAATGCGCAACAAAAATAAAATACCATAAAATAAACCAACAATTAGAGTACATGTAACAGTACTTATTATCAGCTTTATTGAAAATAAATACAATATTTAAACATTTATCATAATATTGGTTAGCGAGTTCTTTTGGGTACGGGTTGACGAAAATGAAGTAGGTACGGGCGGGTCGACCAAAATTTGTGTACGGGTTAGCCAAAGTGGGTACGGGTTGGCATAGGTACGGGTTCGCCAACGCCTAGCTCAGCTGTTTGTTTACTGTCTAGCCGTGACCGGGCCCGTCACTATATAACAACTCCCTGGCATAGGGTAGAAAAATAGTTGAAACTTACCTAACGTTGCTACGCACCGGGTATCGAAGACGTCACCTACAAACTTCAATAAGATAGATGACTTTCCTACACCACCGTCTCCGACGAGTAGAAGTTTGAAAAAAAAATCATCGGTTTTCTTTGGGGCTCCCTCCGCAGTCATCATTTCTCGGTCGCGGTTGTTGGTTCTTGATTTTGATCGCTGTGGTATGGACCGCCGACGGAGTTGTAAATACAAATCTAGCCTTACTGAATTTCTTTTATGCATTGGCGGATCTGGAGATTTGGAGGGGGGGTCAGGGAACCCCCGACCAACATTTCTTTTATTGACGTTCATCGAATCATGGAAAAAAAAATATGTATGCAACTACCCATTTTTTTTTCTGTATATATACCGGTACACACATAATAGGCCCATTTACTGTATAAGAATGAGAAAAACTTGCCTGACCGTTTTCAAGATGGGTAAACCTTGAATTCTGAAGATTAAAAGTCATTAAAAGACATTTCAGAAGTCGAGAAAGCTCATTTCCCGCCCGCTAGGAATAAAAATTTTCCCGAGGAGAACCCGGATCCCCCTTTTCTCTTTATGCGATCATCAAATCATTATCACTGCTAAAGTATAGTCAGTGGCGAATCCAGGAATTTGAAATAGAGGGGCCTATGAGAGGGACTTGTTTTTGTAGGGTCTATACTACCTCAGCCCCACCATGGTTGGAGCTGAGGTAAGAAATTATACCACCTAGATGGCAGGAAATGGCACTTTTAGACTCAAAATTTGAATAGAGTTTTCTTTTTTTCTAAATTTTTTTCACTTTCAGCTTCAACCACATGGTTCCAGAAACTTTCCACGTGAATGAAGAA